GCGTGCGTGCGTGCGTGCGTGCGCGCGCGCGAGCGTGCGTGCGTGCGTGCGTGCGTGCGTGCGTGCGTGCGTGCGTGCGTGCGTGCGTGCGTGCGTGCGTGCGTGCGTGCGTGCGTGCGTGCGTGCGTGCGTGCGTGCGTGCGTGCGTGCGTGCGTGCGTGCGTGCGTGCGTGCGTGCGTGTGTGTGTGTGTGTGTGTTCACGTTTGCGCTGCGAGCAGACGAAGGGAGGACAGGAAAGATGGAGGAAGTAGAAGAAAGGAGGAGAACACGAGACGGAGAGAGAGAGGGGAAGAAAAGAAGAGGGAGGGGAAGGAAGCAAGGCGGAGGGAACAGAGAGGAAGGATAGATGGAACAAATAGTACAGGGAGAAGATTGGTGGGAGGTGCAAGGGTTCTGCGTTGTCACTTTAGCTAAACCCGTAGAGCCCCAAACACAGACGAAACGTAGGCCCTGGAATACCAAAGCACACGCTGTGCCAAAGCACACGCTGCCAAGTTTGGGAACGAGCGTGTCAAATACCTACCTGGCTCTCGCCGTTTGCTGTGCTCTGGTCGACTGGCGTCGAGTTCGCGTCGACGCGTGGCACCTTGTAGCAGAAGCTGTCCCCACGAGAAAAATACAGCAGCACCTGTATGTATGCATAAATACACACGTCTACAATTATTGTCATACTAACCCCTCCGAGGGAGTAGAGCCCAGAGGCGATTAATTGAAGCCGTCCCGTCTCGTTCGCGTTTTGCTTCGAATGCTTCGCCAGAGACATCTCCAAACATTTTAAAATTGAGCGCACCCTCGCGCAGATCGCGACATCACGGTCCCAAAACACAGGAGCTTCATCATGTTAACAGAAAGCCATTCGAACACAATGGTTTTCAATGATTTGGGACGTCGCCCTTAAACTTCTTGGAAACAGCGCTTCCGCGCGAGACACCACCCCAAAAGTGAAACCCTACGAGTGCAAATTGATCGTCATGTTCTTCCAAACGACAGTTTCGATCAAGACATCCTTCAAATTTTGGCTGCGTAGCTCAGTTGCAGCTGCAGTCGCAAGGTGTGGAATTTCCTCCAGCGACACACACATCTCAAGGTGAGGCAACCTAACCTGCGTTCGACTGCGATCCCGCTGTTGCACCTCCTTCTAGACAGCCCCCTGGTGATCCTCACTGTCCTCCATCTCTCCGTTTTCCTATGTTTATCCATCTCCTTCCTCTTCGGATCCGACGTCATATGGTTATTATTGTTCAAGTGTTGCGATGCTTACTTGATACAGTTATTTTTCCAACGAGCCTGGGCCCGCATGTGCCACTTGTATACATAGAGAGAGAGAGAGAGAAAGAGAGAGAAGAGAAAACATGCATATACATATATATATATATATATGTATATATATATATATACATATAGGAGTCTACAGACATCAATGAGAGACTAAACGAAACCATGTGTATGTGGCTATGCACATATATATATATATATATATATATATGCATCTATATAGAGAGAGAGAGAGAGAAAATCGTCCCCCCTGGGTCTCCCGAGATCGGTTCCCCAGGCGGTGTAGATGTAGAATGTCGGTCTCGCATTGTTGCCCTCGGGACGTCCGCAGGGGTGTGCTTCCAGGAGCCCGTGGCGGCTTCGGCCAGGGGGGAAGCATTGGGAGCCGTTTTCAAATGCCCCTTCTGCAGAGCTCTGGGGAGGTGCTTCTTGGCCCCACTGGAGGCGTGCTCGTCCTGGTTTTGCTCCAGAGGTGGCGTCATGTAGAGTGGGTGCCAAAAAGTGCCTTTGGACGTGGTCGTATTCATGCTCGTGGCTCTGTTTTTCACTTTCTCCAAATGTTCCAGGTGCACCTTCTTCGACCGGACTTCTGGATCCCTCCGAGGAAGGGTGGCCGCCTTGCTTGTCAAGGAGGGCTGACAAGCAGCGTCGCCTGCGGATGGTTGTCCATCTGCCTGGCTCAGTCACCTCGCTCGACCTAGGAGGAGGAGGAGGAGGAGGAGGAGGAGGAGGAGGAGGAGGAGGAGGAGGAGGAGGAGGAGGAGGAGGAGGAGGAGGAGGAGGAGGAGGAGGCGGAGACATGTCTTCCAGCCAGTGGAGCTCCAGTTTCGGACTCGCCCGCGGGCCGGGACGCGCGCTCCCGGGAGCCCCCCGAGTGCCGCCTCCACAGCGATTTCGGCTCCAGGCGGTCTGGGTCAAGACTTCACGGGTTCCTTCTCCCAGGCCAGCTGTCGGCGGCGCGCCCAGGGGGGAAGCGAGAGGGGGCAGGCCTTCCCAGAGGGCGGCGAAGCTTCTCCGAAGCCCTCGCGCCTTCTGAGAAGCCGCCTGCGGCTCAGCAGGCGCGAGGGCTCCTCCGAAGCACTGCCGCGTTCCGAGAAGGCACGCACCCTCTCGCTTCCCCCCTGGGCGCGTCGCCGAAGCTAGCATTCACCAGATCGCCGCACCATTCCGATGGCGGCCTTCCTCGGCCAGCGCTACATGGTCCAGGCGAGCTACGCAGATCAAAACGGGGTCGTCTGCACCGACAGTGGCGCATAGGCTGCCCCCGTGAGGTCGCGCGTTGGCGCCCTCGTTGGACAACGTGACGTGCCTCGCTGGCGGCCCGCGCAAGCCACCGCGCAGGGTCGCTGTGCACGTCATCTTGCGTGCAGTCAGCCCGCATGGCACGGATGGGCAAACTTCCCCAGGGGACCCTTGCATACTTGCCTCCTCGGTCCACCCTTGACCACGTTCGTTGGCCGCGCCCCGCTCCGCGCCCCGCCCGAGAAGCTTCGAAAGGGGCGTCCAGGGCCCCTTGCATCCTCTTATCGCGCATCCTTGTGCTGCGGGCCGACTGCGAAGCCCGTCCCTGTTCTGCCGCTCAGGTGAGGAACACCTTCATCGACGATTTCGGCCCGGGCGCCGAGGAGCCACCGACGCGCACCCTGAGGCGCAGCCGCTCCGAGCCCGCGCTGCCCACCCCCGCCGCAGGGGCCGACGAGCTGGCCGCGGAGGCAGGGGCCCCGGAGGGGGCGCCGGGCCACGGCCCGGTCGGCGCGCTCGGCAGGATGCCGGCGGCGCGCGCAAGGGGGCAGTTCGGCAGCAGACCATGGGAGCCCCGTATGCCTTCTACATTCCCGTCTTTCGCGTCGATGGCTTCGATGAGCGTCTGGGGGTCGAGGCGACAGCGCCGATGTAGCGTCGACTTGGCGTCGATTTAGCTCGATTTGGCGTCGATCTGGCGTCGATGCGCAAGGGCCGACAAGATGGGACGGGAGGCCCCCACGAGTTGCAGCCGCAGGCCAGCGCGAGGGAGGGGAGCCTGCAGAGGAGGCGGGGGGCTCCTCAGAGGCCCTCCCGGCGTCCGAGGGGTCTCCTCGGAAGCCCCCTGGGTGCCACCTCAGAAGGCCGCCCCCCTCGGCGCCACCCCCCCGCACGCGCCGCCAAAGTCGGCTGCGCGTCGGGGCGACCTCCCGCCGGAGTGACCCGTGGTCAGGGGGTCACATGCGAACCCTACCCCTGCCCCCCACGATTTCTGAGGGGGAGGGTGGGGTAGGCTTCGCACGTGACCCCCTAGTGGTGCGAGCGCGCGGGGGGCCCCCGGAGGGCTGCAGTGCGATGCGGCAGCAGCGGCGTGCGCGCTCTGGCTCGGCCTCCCCGCGGCCCCCCGAGCGTCGCGCACCGGAGGCGACGGCGTGCCCGGGGTCGCTCCCGGCGTGCAGCCGCCGAGGATGGAGGCCGAGAGGACCGCGCGCGGGGTCCTCGAGCTCGCGTTCCAGCAGCTGGCCAGCCTCAGCCCGGAGGATCGAAGAAGAAATGGCGCCACGAGCACATCAACCTTTGGCGCTCCGCGCGGATTTCTTGGATCCGCGCTGGGCCCCCCCCGGCGGCGCCCCTGGCGGTCCCCGCGTGCCAGGGTCGGAGGTTGATAGACCTCCTACCCTGACACGTCGATTAGCGAATTGGCCGTTTTCGGTTCGCGAGAGGGCGTCGCGGCTGTCCTTTTGGGGGGTCCAGGTCCTTTCGGTTTCGGTCCCAGGCCGTTTTCACTAAGGGGAGGTTTACTAACGGGAGGTTTGTCCACCGCCGACAGGGAGGGGGGTCCAGCGCAGGTCCAAGAAGCCCGCGCGGAGCGCCAAAAGTTCATATGTTTACGGCGTCTTTGTTTTTCTCCTAGAGGAGGTCGCGGCCGCCCTGTACCTCGCCGCCCGCAGGATGCGCGCGCCCCAGCTGGAGGCGGCCTCGGGCGCGCTCCCCGTGGCGCCAACGTTGCAGAGCGGATTTCGCTCGGGAAACCATGGGATGGGCCTGGAGCGTCGTGAAGAATGTCGTTCCAGAGTTCGAGGTTCCTTTCTCGCGGCTTTCTCTTGGCCAGGAACGAGGACACGTGAAGTTCACGTCGTTTTTCGCTCGCCGCTTCGGGGTTTTGCATGGGCAGAAATCCACGCAACCATTCCGCTGCAGCACGTCTGCGAGGTGGGTGCAATGACGCTCCTGCCGCCGCTGCTCGCGCAGCTGCGGGGCGGCATCGCGGAGCTCGGGGGCGGCGGCCGCTTCTCGCAGCTCGCGTGGGCCCTGGGGAAGTTCGGCACGCGGGCGCACCCGGGCAGCCCCCAGCCCGTGCAGGGCATCGACGAGTGCATGCTCCACGTCTGCCGTCGGCACTCTGGGCTTGAGTCGGGCGTGCCCCCCTACAGGAGGCAAGAATTAGTCAAACAGCATAGTCCGGGGGCGATGCTTTGACTATTCGCGATTTTTGTTCAAGTGCTGTTTGGACATGATCATGGTTCTTTCCACAGCCGCCTGTAGGAGGACATTCGGGAGGAAAAGAAACACACAGACACAAGTAATCGGCGACTCCCAGGAAAATATGGGAAAATATGGGAAGTGGTGGGGAAGACAAAAACCTAGAAAATATGGGAAAATAGGGGGGATCTTTTTATCTGTGTGTATTTCTTTGTGTGTCTTTGGGCACCTTCAGACATGCCCGACCTAACTCTGGGCCTCCCGACCTGGGGTCCGAGCACGGATGGGGTCGGAGGCCCGCGCCGCGGCGCCGATGCATCGGAGATGCGGCTCGCTGTGGAGCCCGTGTCCTCCACGCCGGCGTCGCGGGTGCATCGGCGATGCAGCGGCGATGCGGCGCGATCCTCCGACCCCAGCTGCACTCGGGCCCCATCCTGGGAGGCGCTCGTCGGACACAGCCAGAAGCCTGGGTCAGGGGAGCTGGTCAGCGGCTGGGCCCCGGAGAGCCAAAGGTAGACCGGAATCCGTAAACCAGGTCTGCCGTTGCCGGTGTTTCTTCGGGTGGCGGCCGTTCCTGTGAGGGGAATCGGGAGGAGGAGACGCCCTGCGCTACACACTACCAAACCATGTCCCATTACATCCAGTCTTGGCAACGCCCGACTCGCCCCAGTGTGCCAACACGAATGTGTATCCTCCTCTTCTGTCCAGCGTGTGTTGCCAATAGCGCTCAGGCGCTCGGCCGATTTGAGCAGCGAGCGGGTGCTGAAGCTGGCCCTCAGGCCGCCTGCGCCCTCGACGCCGCGCGGCGGCTGGTCAATGAGAGGGGCCCTTTGCCAACGAACGCTGGCGGGGTGGCTGTCTTGCCAACGCCCGCCTTTCCTATCATCACCCACCAAGCCACCCCAACCCAACCCGAAGACCCCACAATGAGCGTTCCGTTCCCAGCGGGGGAGCGGGGCGTCGGGAGCATTAAAAAACATGGAACCCGCACCCTCCCCCCCAACCCGAGAGTTGAATCTTCGGGTTGGGATGGCGTGGTCTGGTACCCAAACCCCCGATGTCGTGATTTTTACACCAGAGGTCTGGACCCCTTCCCCGGGACTGGTTTTTAATCCTGAGTCGTTGTGGGACGGTCCCGAGGCCCGGTGAGGGCCCCCAGAGGCCGAAAATAGCGAAAAACGTCCCATCGTGATTTTGTTCACGACGCCAGGGGGTCTGGGTAGGTAGTCATCTTAGGTATCCCGCCGTCCTGGCGGGCTGCTCCGACGCAGAGCTCACCAACTCGCTGTGGGGCCTCGCCAGGCTCCTTCCGGGAGCGGCCAGCGGCGCCGCGGGCGGCGCGGAGGCCTTGGGCGCCGCGTGCGGCGCCATGGTGCGCGGGTGCCTCGGCAGGGTGGCGTCGCTGACGGCGCTGCGGGCAAGATCTATACCTATCTCCACGGCTTCCCCGGACCCCCGCGCGTTGTGAAACAGACGCGGCGGGAGGTGTTTCGCTGCTTTTGGCCTCCCAGAGCCCTTACCGGGCCCCGGGACCGTCAAAAAACGACTCGGGATGAGAATCGGGTCCCGAGGAAGAGATCCAGACCTTTCTGGGGACTCGACGTGGCAAATTCACGACGTCGGGGGTCTGGGGACGGTGCTGCGGGCAAGATTCAGATCCATCTCCGCTGCTTCTTGCACTTCTGGGAAAGGGCGCCAAAAGGCCAACGCGCAGCGGATGTGCATAAACATCTCTGGCCTCCGGGCGCCAGATGTCTGCTTCTGGCCACTGCGCCTTGGGTTCCGAGGGGAGGGGGGCACGACACCCCAGGGTGCGGCGGAAACGGACGTGCGTCCCCAGACACGCGACGTCCCGATTTTTCCAGGACGGCGTCCCTGGAAGTCCCGACCCTTGCCCCGAGGCCGGCTTTTCGTCCTGAGTCCTTTTTGGACGGCCCCGAGGCCCGGCGAGGGCCCCCTGGGGCCGAAGATAGCCCAAAACTCCCGTCCGAATTTTTTTTTTGCGACGCGATCCTGTCTGGGCATCGCCCGCAGGCGCAGTGCCTGGCCAACGCCTTCTGGGCCATGGCGCGCCTCCGGGTGCGGGGCCCGGACGCCTCGGAGTTCGTCCTGCGGGCCCTCGCGCGGCTCCGCACGGCGCCGCAGCTCGCGGCCTTCACGCCGCAGGGCCTCGCCAACGTCCTCTGGGCCCTCGCCCAGCTGCGGCTCGCCGGCGTCTGCGCGGGGCCGCTGGACAGCGGCGCGGTGCAGGCGGCGCTCGTCGCGGTCGCCGAGGCCTCCGCGCAGCGCCTCGGCGAGTTCCAGCCGCAGGAGCTGTCCATGGCGGCGTGGTCCTTCGCGAAGCTCTACGGGCAGGCGGGCTCGGGGGGCCCCGCCAGCAGCCCGGCGCGGGGCGGCCGCCGCGCGGCGAGGCCCCCGGAGGTGGACGGCATGCTGCTGAGGCTGGCCTCGGTGGCGACGCGCCGCATCGACCAGTTCGAGGACCTCGGGGGCAACGATGGGGGGGGATAGGCATAATTAGGGGGGCGGCGGACGCATCGACCCCCCATCGCCCAGGGATCGCCGACAGGGGCCCTAGAGCCCCAACCTGCCCAGGAACGTGCGGATCCATCCTCAGAGGCCTTTCGCCGATGCATCGGCGATGGATCGCCGAGTCCAGGCCGATGTGCCCCCCCCCTATGCCAGTCCCCCCCCTATCGCTGCCCCTCAGGACCAGGGGATCTCGAACATCGCCTGGGCCCTGGCCACCCTCGGCCTCGCCGGAGGGGAGGCCGCCGCGGCCCCGGGCCGGCGCTTCGTCGAGGCCGCCATGGACTTCTGCAGCACGGAGCTGCGGGGCTACTCGACCCAGGCCGTGGCGAACATCCTGTGGGCCTGCGTGCGCCTCGACCCCGCCCGGGCGAAGCAGCTCCGGCAGAGGCTGGGCCGCTTCTGCTCGGCGGCCGCGGAGGTGGTCACCGAGCGCATGCTGAGCTCCACCGCCGCACGCCCGCGCGCCAACACCGCGGTGACCTGGAGGGACCTCTCCGGCGTGGCGGCCGCGCTGTCGCACGGCAGGCAGAGGTCGCAGCCCGTGGCGCGCTTCGCGGGCTTGCTGGCCCGCCAGGCGGCCGAGCAGGTGTCCGAGGGCGGCCTCACGAGGCAGGAGATGCTCAACATCAGCCTCTCGCTGGCCCGCCTGCGGGTGCCGCCGAGCGACATGCAGGGGCTCGTGGACAGCGTCGCGATCTGCATCGCGGTGCGCGGCGATCGGCTCAACCAGCTGGACCTGCTCCAGTGGGACGAGGCTCGGGTCGGACAGATCGGGGGCAACGATAGGGGGCGATAGGCATAGGGGGGATGCATCGACACCCAATCGCCCATTGATCGCCGACAAAGCTGCACAGGAAGGCTCGGATTCACTATCGGGGGCCTATCGCCGATGTATCGGCGATGTATCGTCTATTCCAGGTCGATGCATCCCCCCCTATGCCAGTCCCCCCCTGTCGTTGCCCCTCAACAAACGGGGAGAGGGGACAGGAACAGACGAGACACACGAGATCTGCTGCATGCAGCTGGTTTCGGTCTCGCCGCCCAGATGCATTGGCGCCTCCAGCGTTGGGGGGCGCCAGCGAGATCAGCTGCGTGAGCTGACTCGCTAACCTCTCCTTTTACTGTCCCCACTTTTCGTCCGACCCGACAGGTGCGGCAGTGGTGCCCGCCAATGCCGGCGCAGTTCTGCGGCGCGGGCGTGCGGGCGAGCTTCAGCGGGGGGTGGGCGTGGTGATCGGGGCCAGCCAGAGCCGCAGCGGCGGTCGTTCAGGTTTGGCCTCGCCCTTGCGTTCCTCCCCCGACTCCTCCCCCGTGCTCACCTCATCGCTTGCGACACGCGTTGACTTTTGCGAGCAGCGGCGCGCAAGAATTTCAGAGGCTGGCGCCCTAAGCGACGGCCCCTCGATCTTTTATATGTTTCTTGTTGTTTGTAACGCTTTCTCTCCCCATGTTTTTTGTTTCCCTCTCTCTCTCTCTCTCTTTTTCTATATCTCTCTCTCTCTCTCTCTTCCTTTCTCTGGGAATTAGAGAGAGAGAGAGAGAGAGAGAGAGAGAAAGACCTGCTAACTAGCGTGGCCCCATCTTGTCCGTGACAGCCCAGCCATGCTGGGGCCCACGGGTTGGGAACTACTATCCGCATTCTTCGTATTCTCCTTGCCGTTCTCATTATCAGAATTATCGAGTGGCGTTCGGCCCATCCCGCCACTGTGCCTTGGTTGTTGTGGGTATGAAGCCTAGTGGATGTTTGTTGGGGTCTCGTGGGAGGCCTCTTGGAGGCAGTTTGGAGGCCTGTTGAGGGCCGTTTGGGGGCCTCTTCGGGGCTGTTTGGGGGCCTCTTTGGGGCCTCTTGGGGCATCTTGGGGGCCGTCTTGGGGCCCTCTTGGGCAGTCTTGGGCGCATCTTGCGTCTTGGGGCCCTCTTGAGCCGTCTTCGGGCAATCTTAGGGGCCTCTAGGGCCGTCTGGGAGTGTGGGGAAGCCGAAAAGGCGAGAAAGCCAAAAACGGCCAGACACCGTAGGAAAGTCAATGATGTTGGCCTCTTTAGGGCCCTCTTGGGAGGCCTCTTGGAGGCTTCTTGGGGCGTCTTGGAGGCCTCTTTGGCCGTCTGGGGGACATCTTGAGCGTCTTAGAGCGATCGTTCGGGACTCGGGGCCCGCTGGGACCGTCTTGGCGGCCTCTTGGAGCCCGCTTGGCCCACCGTGAGGACCTCTTGGGCCTGAAAGAGTCACGCAGGGAGACGCGGGGCAGCCAGGGGTAACCTCGACAAGACCCAAGAGATTTCGGAAATTTGGGCCCGAGCCCCTTATTGGTTCCTCAGAACTGAGGACTGAGGCTCAGGGGATAGGGCAAAGGCCCCGAGGACACGCTCACTCCGTTCCCAGCGGCATCGTCTTCTTGTCATTGTCAGTCTCAGTATCAGCATTGTTATGTGATGTTTCCTCTTCTTACGTCCTTAATATTATTATTATTATTATTAGTATGACTAGTATTGTTGTTGTGTTTTTCTTCCTCTGTCGCAGACCTCGTCTTCGAATTAATGGAGCACCAGCGGTGCCTCTCCTCCAGGCTCGCACTGGCGAGTTTTACGGCGCCCCGCCCCAGCCAACACCGCAGCGGCCGGCGATTTGTTTCTCGATCAAAGATTTCTGCGGCATTCCTCCTTCATTCAACAGCCGCACTGGCACCAAAGTTGTTTTTTATTGCATGTGTCCGTCGCCCCGTACGTTTGCTGTCTTGAACATACATAAGAGAGCTGAGTGTCCAGATTCGACAGTGCCGCCGTCTTGGTGTACAAGCCTCGTCAAACATAAATTGAAACGCTGTGCAGAATCGAAGCGCTCGATAGTTCGGGCACGTGTCAGAAAACGCGTTCTTCAATGCTGTGAGGCTACTGCTGGATGTTGGGCACCCCTGCGTCTGGGCCGAATACCTCATGCCAGCATTGAAGTAGTGCTGACCATGCAAGCACCGAAAACAAAAACCGTCAAAGTATCTTTGACGAGTCTTGTAGTAGCCGGAGACAGCGACAATGGCGAATTGATCAGATCAAAAAACAATGTTCAAGCCCGCAGGCGCACATCCTCCGCGCGGTCTGTGTGCAGAAAGACACGCGCGCGTCGGCGAGTTCTTGGATGCAGTTCACCACGCTGACGCTTGGACGATTTTCGTAGGGCTTCCAACACTGGCAGGACCCACACCGCACAGGGTGACCCTGACCATTTCTTGCGAGTTGGCTCCTTTGCTCCTCTCCACGTATCCTCCTCCTCGCTCTTCCTGCTCCGCGCCCGTGTCCGCTGCCCTGGCCCCGCTGGCAGTGCTTGGTGAGGCCCTGTGGCGAGCGCGTTGTTACTTCTGCTGGGAGCGGCTGAACCAAGGCCGTCTCAGTCCCGCGGCAGGTGGCAGTTTTTCCCTCCGTTGTTGTCTTGTTTTGTTGTTTGCTCCGCTTCCACACCCTTCGCTAAGTTACGACTCTTGGGAGCTTGGTTTCAGCATCTGTGCTGGTATTTCCTTGGGCCTAATCTGGCCAACTCCGGTTCAATCCGGCCTTACCCAGCTTAGTTCTGGATTTAATATGGTTCAATTTAGTTTTGATCCTGATGTAGCAGGCCTACTAGCCTTGAATCCTTCTCGCGAAGATCTCCCAGGAGTTGCTCCCAGACTTCCGCATACTTCATTGGAGTGACGCAAGAAAACCGGGTCGTCTGCGCCGACATTCGCGCGCAAGTTGCCCGCGTAGGGTCGCGCTCAAGCTCCTTTGTTTCCAATGCGGCGTGCCGCGCTGGCGGCCCGCGTAAGCCACCGCGCAAGGGACCATTTGTGTCACGAGCCGTTGTGGACACGCTTGGGAGGGAGGAAAATTTCAGAGGAGGAGGAGGAGGAAGAGGAGGAGGAGGAGGAGGAGGAGGAGGAAGCCTGGTGGGAGTCTCCTGGAGCACTCTTGGAGCCTCCTGGGAGCTTCCTGGGGGCCTCTCTGAGGCCTCTTGGGGGCCTCCTTGGGCCTCTTGGGGGCCTTCGGGGGCTTTGGGGGGCCGTTTGGGCCTTCTCAGGGCGCTCCTGGCCCGCCTGACGCCGTCAGAAGCTGTCTTGGGGGCCTCTCTGAACAGACTTGCGGCCCTCTTGGGGCGCTTCAGGGCCGTCCGGGAGACCATCTTGGGCGTCTTGGAGGCCTCTTAGGCCGTCTTGGGGCCGTCTTGGGGGCATCTCGGGCCGTCACAGGGGCCATCCTGGAGACCTCTTGGGCGATCTTAGGGCGATCTTGGGGCCTCCTGGGCCGTCGGAAGGCCGAAAGGAAGCAAATACCAAAGTCCTTTGAAACAGTAATGGAGATTCAATGGCTTGGGCCTCTTCGGGCCATCCTTGAGAACCTCTGAATGGCCTCTTGGGCCGTCTTGGAATACTCTTGAGGACCGCAAGGGTCGGCTTGAGCCATGGTGGAGCCACGTTGGGCCGTATTGGTAGGTTCTTGGGCGGACTTGGAGGCATATTGGACTCTCTTGAGCCGTCTTGGAGGCCATCATGGCCGTCGTGGAGGCCATCTTAGCCGTCATGGAGGCCATATTGGCCGTCGCGGACGTCATTTTGGAGCCACTTCAAGCGGACAAAAACTTTGCCTCCCACCTTTGGGCGAGACTTCTGGGTGGCCAGCGGGCTGGGCCGAGACACCATTGGGAGCGTTGAAAGAACCAAGGACCAACAAAAATTTAGCACGTCGTGCACCTTTCTGGCAAGCACATAGGTCAGCGGATCGAAGACGCATGCGGCGAGTCACCGCCGCCCCCTGCCTTTTTGGAAACGCCCATGCGGCCAAACGTGAGGCCAAAGTCAGGCCAAGCTATTGGATTATGTGTTCCCCCAGCCGTTGTGGAACCCCTTGAGGGGGAACACTGGGGAGAGGAAGAGAAAGGAGGAGGAGAGGGAGGAGAAGTTGGAGGGTGATGAAGAGGAGGCCTCTTGAGGCCCTCTTGGAGCGTTGGGGGACTTCCTGGGAGCCTATGGGGGGGCTCTAAGGGACATCTATGGAGCCTCCTGGGGCCTTTTGGAGGTCTCCTGGGACCTCTCGGGGGCCTCTTGGGGGCGTCTTTTGGGGGCCTCCTGTCAGAGGCTGTCTTGGGCCCTTCTGGGCAGTCGTGGGTTTTTTGGGGGCGCTTCAGCACCGTCTTGGAGGTCTCTGAGGCCACCTTGGGGGCGTCTTGGGGGCCTCTTGGGCTGTCTTGGGGCCCTCCCGGGCCGTCTTGCGGGCCTCTTTGGCGCCTCCTGGGCCGTCTTGAAGCGTGGGAAGCCCGAACAGGCGAGAACGCTAAAATCATTGAAAAGCAATGAGAAGCCCATGATCTGGGCCAACCGGAAGTATCTTGGAGCCCACTCGGGACGTCTTAGGGGATTCTTGGGCCGTCTGGAGGACATCTTTGGGCCGTCTTGGGGCCATCTTGGACGTCTTGGAGGCGTCTCGGGAATGTCTTGGCGGTAATCTTGGTCCATGTCGGCCGTCTTGGAGGCCATCTTGTCGTCATTTCGGGCGGAAAACCTTTGCCTCCCACCTCTTCCGGCCCAGGGGCAAAGGGATCTCTGTCGAAACGAACCGAGAACCTCCCAGAGGTCTAGCACGCGGTGCGCTCCTGTGAATGGCCGTCGGCCCACCCCGCCACCGTGCTTGGGTTGTGGGCGAGAGGTTTCTTGGATATTCGTTGGGACCTCGTGGGGGGCCTCCCGGGAGCCTCCTGGAGGCAGTTTTGATAGAGGTGGGGGCCTCTTCTGGGGCCTCTCGGGGGCATCTTGGGGGCTTCGTGGGGATTTCTTGGGTGACTATAGGGCCTATTGGGAGATCCGTTGGGCCTCCCGAGTGCCTCTTAAAACGAAAACCTCTGATGTTTGTCTTCTTAGGCCGTCTTGGGCACCTATTGGGTCATCTTGGGGCCCGCTTAGGCAGCCTTGCGGCCCTATCAAGGGCCTCTGGGGCCGTCTTGGGGCTGTCTTGGGAGTCTCTTAGGCAGTCTTGGAGCGTTGGAAGCTCGAAAGATGAAGAACCCCAAAAGCAGCTTCAAAACCTTATCAATGATTTGGGCCTGTCGGAGCCCTCTTGGGGAGACTCTTGGGGCTCTCTTGGGGCGTCTCGAAAACTTCGTGGGCCGGCTTGGAGCCGTGTTGGGCGTCTTGGACCGACGGTTCGGCGATTCTGCGCCCTCTTGGACCGTGTGGGCGTCTTCTTGGGGCCCTCTGGGCCTGTCTTCAGGTTTTCTCAGGCCCCAAAAAGGCACGCGACAAGCCACGACGAGCCCCAGAGGGCACGCAGGGAGCCCCGGAAGATTTGTGAATTTGAGGCCACGGCCATGTAAGACGTCCCCTGGATTGAGGACTGCGGCTCCGGGGGATCGAACAAGGGACCTGAGGACACTCCTCCTCGTGCCTCGAAGGCACGGAGGCGGATACCCGGGCTTATTTTCGAGAATACTTTGGCTTCCTCCTTCCCTTGTTCCTCTTGCCTCCCTCTTCCTCTTCCCACCTCCGCCGAGGACTGCAGCACCGTCTTGCCCCAACGCAGCGCCTGATGGCCCGAGCTGCAAGCGATGTGGGACGCTGGATGCTCGGTGCCAGGGGCGCGCAGAGACGCACCCGCATGTGCGCGCGGAGAGGTACGGCAGGTTCGTGTCGTGTCGACGCGGCGGTGACCCCCCGCCGCGGGCGTTCAAGATTTAACGCCGCCAGTGGCTCAGAACCGGCAGAACTGGAACGATCCGGCATGTTGGCAACGCGCGATTGTTCAAGGTTGAACTATCTCCGTGGTGTCCGGAACCAACGAACGGATCGTCACGATACGAACTTGCCGTAACCGATTCCTCCTTGTCGTGACCAGCTGGACCCGCGCGCTGCGCGATCCTGTCGACGCCGATCTTGGTCATGGTCCATGCCGGCCATCGCCGACTTACGAGGATAATCCACGAATTGCCGGTGACCTAGATTATCTGTGACCAAGATCGGCACCGACGTTTCAACGGTCATTCTTAGCCATGAGTCATGGTCACCGTGTTCTTTCCCTCCGACACAGGACGGCTGCACGCAAGAGAGTGCCTCTTCGCCAGAGTGACCCATATGGACATATGTCTTGCACGGGCGATAACGGACGTGACCTGGAGGGGGGAGGTGGGAGGGGGCTGGTCACGTCACGATTCGCGCAGGCGCCGTCTGGGAGTGCCTAAGGATGGCTGATTCCCCGGGGGGAGGAGGGGTAGGGGCCGGTCACGGACGCTATCGCGAATCAGAACACATCTGTTCGTGTCAGACAGGCTTAACGGCTTAACGGCCCCAGAACGTTACTGGAGCGCTCAGCGCTCTGAAAGTGGTTTGAACTGGCCACGACGCCTGGTACATCCTCCAGAACCGTCAGCTCTCGGAGATCTTTGATGTATCCTCATCCGAACTCTTGACTCTTCGCGTGTCCCCCTAGCCCAGCCAGCAAAGATGGCTAGGCGACTTGCCTTGATCAGGGAAT